TGTATTATGTGGAGGGATTCCATATGAATCTTATTTCTTTTGGCCAGTTAGTTACTGATAATTTTTTGGTGGGACAAGTTACTGATAAACTTATGATATTACAGGACCGTACCTCGAGGATGATGATTGGAGCGGGTGAAAGAGAGGGAGAGGGACTGTACCAATTTCAAGGGATTGAGTCGTTGACGTCGCTTCAGACTACCATTCGAGAGGATTCAGTTTTGTGGCATCGTCGTCTTGGGCAGCCATCTTCTCGCATTACGGGAATAATTTCTGCTTTTGATACTTCTTTACCTAAAAAAGATGAACATCTGATCAAAACCTGTGATATTTGTTTTCGAGCTAAACAAACTCGTCAAAGTTTTCCCGATAGTTTTCATAATGCAAAAGAGATTTTTGATTTAATTCACTGTGATCTTTGGAGACCATATCGAACCACTACTTTCTGCGGCTCTCGTTATTTCTTAACGATTTTGGATGATCTCTTTGGTTATACCTGCTACCAGAGAAGAACTTAGTTGCTCAACAACTCAAAGAATTCATGGCTTTGGTTGAGATACAATGCTCAAAGAAAATAAAAGTACTGCAAAGTGACAATGGTACAGAATTCCTTTGTCTCACGCAATATTTCAAAGAAAACGGAATTCTACATGAGACTTCATGTGTCTCGACACCACAACAGAACGGGCGGGCTGAACGCAAACATCGGCATATTCTCAACATCTCACGAGCATTACGTTTTCAAGCTAATCTTCCTATAGAATTTTGGGGAGAATGTGTCTTAGCAGCGGCTCATCTAATCAACCGCACACCGTCTCCATCACTTAAAAACAGCACCCCGTTTGAAGTTCTTCACGGCCACCCACCATCAATATCTCATCTTCGAGTACTTGGATGCTTGGCTTATGCTCATAACAAGAATACTAAAGGGGATAACTTTGCATCGCGTAGCAGGAAGTGCATACTTTTAGGATATCCATCAGGCACTAAAGGTTGGAAATTACTTGATCTTGAGCAAGAGGTTGTGTTTATCTCAAGAGATGTTACATTCCGAGAAGATGTCTTTCCTTATAATGACAAGAACAGAGAGGTCTCTACACTTCCGAGACAGAGTGTGACGCCTCCGTCAACTAATGACGAGAATGATCAACCAAACAACAAGATTAGCACGGTCCCTCCTACTGCCATGAAACCTATAGTTGTTCCAACAGTAGACAACGGTTCAGACACTTCCGAAACACATATTGAAACAGAGACTGAACATGAGCCAATCGAAACAGAAACTGGTCAAGAACTTCTGGGTCGTGGTCTGAGAACAAAGACTCCTTCTACTCGGTATCGCGATTTTGTCATAAACACAGTCACAGCAATCCCGACTCTCTCTCTCTCTCTTCCCTCGTCCATGCCTCAGCCATCCTCAGGTTCGTTGTTTCCTTTATCTGATTATCTAACATCTGATAGACTGTCATCTAAGCACTGCAGCTATCTTATCGCTTTGGCAACAAATATTGAGCCGAGAAGTTTTAAAGAAGCCATGAAACACAAAGTCTGGCGAGATTCCGTAAAAGCAGAGTTTGATGCTCTTGAACGACAACATACATGGGATCTTCAGGAGTTGCCACCACATAAAAAGGCTCTAGGCACAAAATGGGTGCACACTACAAAGCTGTGTGCAGATGGGACTATCGAAAGGTACAAATCGCGACTTGTAGTGCTTGGAAATAATCAAAAAGAAGGTCTCGACTACACGGAAACCTTCTCACCGGTTGCTAAGATGACAACAGTTCGTTGTTTCTTGATATTGCTAAAAAGATGAAACATGAAATTCACCAAATGGACGTTCACAACGCGTTCTTACATGGTGACCTTCATGAAGAAGTATACATCAAATTGCCTCAAGGATTCTCTCAACCAAACGAAACGCGGGTGTGTCGTCTTCGTAAATCTCTTTATGGTGTTAAACAAGCACCACGATGCTGGTTTGCAAAGCTGGCTGAGGCCTTACTAAAGTTTTACACAGACATAATCAGACTCCTCCTTATTTATCTACTCAAGAAACAATATTATGCTGCGGATCTTGGTTTATGTCGATGATCTTATTATTTCTGGAGATTCAACGTCTGCAGTCAACACCTTTAAAGCTTACTTATCGACTTGATTCCATATGAAAGACCTCAGCACACTTAAATATTTTCTAGGATTGGAAGTAGCCAGGAGCTCTCAAGGGATTTACTTATGTCAACGTAAATATACGATAGACATTTTAACAGAATGTGGGCTTCTTGGGTGTAAACCGGCAGGTTCGCCTATGGATCAGAATAAAAAACTTGGTAAAGCTGAAGGAGATTTTCTTGAGGATCCAGAGAAGTACCGTCGTCTGATAGGACGTTTGATCTATCTTCTTGCAACTAGACCGGATTAGCATATTCTGTTCACATTCTATCACAATTTATGCAGCGACCATGAGAGGATCATTGGCAAGCTGCTTTAAAGACAGTGAGATATTTAAAAGGCACGGTTGGCCAAGGTGTTTTGTTTCGAGCTGCTCCAGTTTTTACAGTAATTGGATGGTGCGACGCAGATTGGGGAGCATGTCCAACTTCTCGATGTTCTTTATCTGGCTGGATAATTCAATTCGGCTCTTCTCCAATTACTTGGAAAACGAAAAAGCAAGATGCAGTTTCCTTATCCTCTACTGAAGCTGAGTTCCATGCGTTGAAAGCAATAACCAAGGAACTCATATGGCTCAAAGGCTTGCTATTTGAACTTGGTATCGATCACAAGGATCCAATAGCGGTTTATTGTGATAATAAATCTGCTCTACATATTAGTGCGAATCCAGTTTTACACGAGAAGACTAAGCATATGGGCATTATTTGTCAGTTTGTACGGAAGCAAATTGCCAAAGGGATCATTCAGCCGGCATTTGTGTCTACTAATGATCAACTTGCGGATATTCTTACTAAAGCATTAGGACGTAAAGAGTTAGATGCATTTCTTCTCAAGTTAGGCATTAACAATATTCATGCTCCAACTTGAGGGGGGGGGGGGGTATTGGAGTATGATTCCTATATGCTTTAGGAATTATACGACAACTTTCCAATTCTATGTTTTTCCTATTTTCTGTTGGCTTTAGCAATTTCCTATTCTTGTTTAGTTCTTATTGGTATAAATACCAATCTTCATATTCAATAAAACATAACTTTCTTTTGATCCTAAACAAGATTTGTCAGTTTGGAATAATGAATGAAAAATACGACGCGTTGCCCGGCTTCATAGCCCACAAGCTTCTCCATCTACTTGCTTTCGATAGTGCTTCTCTAATTAACATCAGTAGCTCTTCTACCTAAAGTAAGAGATTCAATAGAAAATGGAAGTAAGTTAGATGTGAATAGGGATATGTTTTGAGATAGAGATCTATCTCGGTTTTTCAGCTTGTCGATATTCGTCGTGTTCTCTTTTATTGTCTGAGTTTGTTCCTTTGTAATGTTTTTCAACCAAGTTTCTTCCAACCTGTGATTATTTTTCTCTTATCAGTTTCAGATATTTCTTGTGCATCAAGAAACAAGCTTAACTATAGCTTGTGCATCAAGAAACAAATTTAATCGTAGCCAACCTTTTTTCCTCCAATAGAGCTTCAGCAAAGATATCTCTTTCTGTAGATTCTTAATTGTTTTTTCTATTGCCAAAACCTGTTTATGCCAGTAGAATCCATCATAATATACACCTACGGATCAACAAGAATGTGAACAAAGGAAAAGGACATACACAACAATTCTCTTCTCTGCGAGATGTCTAATGTATTTGTACCCATCTAGCAAGAACTCCACACTTCTACTTAGCTCAACTTCTTTTTATCCACCAGACTCCACAAACGTTTCTACTTTCCTTTTAACATTTTCCACTACAAGAATATAAGCTGATTTTCAACAGAAAAAAAATTGTCAGATATTCCCAAGGATTTCCCAACGAAAATCCATAGGTAAAACAAATCGAGGAACTGTCAGGATTTCGTTGGGAATTCCAAAAAATTTTAAGGATATATTCCCGATGGAAGGTACTGTTCATTACTTAACGACCATAATAGGCGGTTTGGAATTCTTGACGGAAGGTGGCAGTCGGAAATTATTGACCACCGTTCGTCCATCGGGAATTCCAGACCACGCCACCTTCCATTGAGAATTTCTAATCGCCAACTGTTATCGGTAATCCCCACGGCCACCAATAGTCAGGAATTCTTGATGGATTTTTTTTCCATGGGATTTCCCGTCGGTACTTCATTTGGAAAAAAATCGTCGAATTATGACTTTTTCCCGATGTCCTAGTACCAGAAAAATGTAGTCGTCAGCATTACCGATGAATTCGTTGTTTTCTTGTAGTTTGACTAAGTTCAAAACTCGCTTGGAATTACATTCCTCTTCTTGGACATTCTCGACATTTAAGCAACAGATCGATTCACACTAGCGATGCTCCACAGAGCGTAAAAATTTGTAATTTTCTAAAGATGTAACTTGTAAGGATATATCCTTCTCTCATTCTAGTTCACAGTCTCTTCCTCTAAAGAGTTCAAAATCTCTCTCTTAGTTTGCCTCGAATACAAGTAGTTCAGAGAGTCTAAGGAAGAGGGTTTCTGTTGTGGGAGGTCGTCACCTCTAAGGAAGAGTATTTCCTTGCCCTTTTTTGTGGCCGGGTAAGATCTTATTAGGTGTAGCTTTGAATACAGAATATATATGATAAACATATGTTAAGAGCCTAAGAGAGAATGGCTGGTAAGAACTTTTAACATATTAAAATCAATAGACATTAATCAACATTTCCTTTCGAATTGTAACAGCTACGTGTGATGTGGCTTATATATATATGTTTTCCAGTATATATGTTGCTTTACATATACATATTTTCCATACGTTTGAAGGGGGAATTTACAAAGTGACAATCTAAAAAATTAACTGAGAGAACGTAGCAATATTTGTCCCTCCAAAGAAGAGGGAAAAGAAAAATCACCATTGGTTTTGCCAATCTTGAATAGCTAGATGAAGAACGTGATTAGGTATGAGATTGCAATCTTCCATCTTCAGGTTTGTCATCGGCGACGTGTTGTGTCCGTACGCTAACCATTCCTTAATCGCTTCCGCTTGGTAAGTAAACCCATCTGCTGGTATCAAAGGATCTTTCATCACTTCCTGTGTTCGCAACAACAAACAACAAACACTCCATTTTAAGTTTTGTCTTTAAATCTGATCACCAAACTCTGTTCAGACATCGAGAAAGTACCTGGAAAATGGGGCATAGGTAATGAGAAGGAGGCTTGCGTTGAACTTTTTGATTCGAGTACAATGCTGCTTCTGATAAAGGAACTTCTGAGGCTTTCATGCGATCTATAACCCTTAGAACGATCGGTAAGTCTGGTCGGTTCAACGGGTTTTTCTTACAGCAACCAATGGCTATATTAGCTAGCTTCTTGCTTCGCGCGACTGGCCAATCTCCCGCTGTACTATCCAGAACCGCGCTGATGTTATCATTCTCCAAGCGCATTTGACGTCTCTCAGTACGCCAGAGAGAGGTCTTCTGGTGAGAAGCTGAAGGAGAATCATTCCAAACGAGTATATGACTGACTCCAGCGTCATTTCACCGGAGATAAAGTAATGTGGATCCACGTGGGGATCAGATTTGTCGACTCCATCGATAGGGATCAGCTGGGAAATCCCGTAGTCGCTTATTTTGGTGACGAGATTAGAGTCAAGGAGGATCTTGAAAGCGCAAGATTAGTAGTACAGAAACTAGAACACACAGTAATCCAAGAGTTATTTTCCAAGAAAATACGACTAGATAAATCCTTTTAAAAGCACATACAAGTTCTTTTGAAAAGCAATTCTCAACAAAGCTCAAGAACAACTTGACTTGTTGACTAGCCTAATCAATTCACGACTTACCCTAGTCGATGAATTGCTTCTAACTCTTAGAGTGTTTTGCCTACCTTGCTCGGTTTCACAAAACTCTATCTTGCTAGAATATCACCTAGTGTGTTAGCCGACTACAACCCAGTCGACTCTCTCTTTATACCTAGAGAGAAAAACCCTAAAACTACCCAATGGAAACTTTCCATTTTCTGTTTCAGCGAATAAGACAACCTTCTTCTTTTCTTCATCGGTTATTTAATCTTCACTCCTTTCTTAAAGCCCACGCCTTGATAAATATCTTCACATCTTTACTAATGGCTCCTTCCTTTTCTTGCTCAGCTCTCGACTCCGCGTTTCACCCAGTAGTTCATGTCGTGCTTCATGAACTACTTCAGCTTTGTCCTTGAACTACTTCAGCTTCGTCTGCACCATACATCTTCAATCTCCCCCTTTTTAATCTGTGCGTCTCACAAGTACCTGAGATGAATACGACAATACACACACAGAGGAACACAACTCGGAAGAACACATCATGAAGACAAGAAGTACATAAATATCCAAAGCAAAAAGGGTCACATACTTAATACATCTCCGAAAAGATAACACACATAAGTACTCCCCCATAATCTACAAATTGTCTTAAACAAGAAATCAAAACCAGTTGCAACAAGTGGTGCAACCAGAAAGTACAATGCCAAAAACACAAGAAAATAAACAACATCATTGCTCCCCCACAATCTTAGCGTTCATCTCAATCTTCTCCCCCTGCTTGTGAGCACACAGGTTAAAAACACTAGAAATATGTAAATATTTAAAGAAGAAGCAACAAAGTGAGAAGGAACACTGACCAGAAATAGAGCGAGATAGATCTGCAACGATATCAGTCAATGCGCGCAGAGCCGCAGCCGTGTCTTGAAGTGCCTCCTGAAGTTCTTCCTGAGTGATCAACCCCTGAGGAACCTTGATAGTGCCCAGCTCAACCACAGAGACCCTTCGAGGACCAGTCTTACCACTTGGAGTAGACGGTGTGGGAGCAGGAGGAGGATGAGTGGTGCGAGCAGAGGTACGGACCTCCTGTGGTGGAGTGACCTTTCCCTTACCCTTTGTCTTAGCTCGAAGAAGCTCATAGTTCTCTCCAACACGCTTGTCCTTCTTGTAGGGCACAGGGGAACAGGTTTCTCACCACTCTTTGGCTGAAGGAAGTGTTGCTTCTGGAGAATTCCCATAATGAGGCGCGGAAAAATCAACCATCGAGAGTCATTGCGCTGAATGACTCCCAGATTCATGATCTGCTTGAAGACCAAGCTCCCCAAATCAATCTTCACACCATGCGCCATCTTGTAAACCAGCTTGGCCCTATCCACTGACACATGTGTCTTGTGTGTAGATGGAATCCAATTATGTGCTGCAATGATCATCAGGGCGCCATAGCGAGGTGAGAGATCGGTGGTGGTCAGGCTAGCCCATGTCTTCTTGGTCTTCTCGGTCAAGAACTCAGCTAGCTCAGTGACACTGATTGCATCAATGGTCTCTTCCATGTCAGCTTCTTCCTCAGACAGTGGTTCAAGGCCGAGATACTCATTGATGACTGAAGCAGAGAACTGATACACATGGCCTCGGACTTGTACCTCAACCTGACATTCAGCATCTTCAACTTTAACATTCGGTAGGCCTGCATAAAATTCAGCCACCACCTGCTCGACATAACTCACAAGAGATGTCACAGTCGACACCATGCCTCCCTTTTTGATAACCTCAACATACCCCCACTGATCCGGTTCCTCCACGTCTACACTACGTTCAGCTATGAAGCTACGACTCGCAAACTGATCATACCTTGTCTTGGTCTCTGGTGTAGTAGCTGAAGCACGGAGATCTCCCTTCTTCCTGGATTTCACACGATCAGAGACAGTGCCTTCCTTTGTGAGGCTAGGAAGGTTTGCAGCAGTCTGAGATTGCGTAGGAGTATCGTCTTCTCCAGTCTTGGATTTCTTTGAGGCCGGAAGACCCAGCCTTTTTAGAATTCGCTTCGTCCTTGCTTTGATTGGTGGGGCTCCTTCAGATGTCGAGCTCAACTCCACCGCATCCTCGGCTTTCTGATTAACTGTCAAGGGCAGATTCTCTGGGTCTTGAGATCCTTCTTTCTGTTCCTCTGGGTCTGCTTCTTTCGCCTCAGATCCTGATTCGGTGTGTGTGTCTAAGCTGGGGCAGACGCAGTAGGAGAGGCTGGAGATTTGGGTATGGTGTCTTCTGGGGCAGTCAATCTCGCAGGTACATGAGATGTGTCAAGATTCACATCCTTTTGTTGCGAAGTGCCCTGATTCTCATCGCTCTCCTCCGATTGAGAGCCTTCTCATTTGCAGTATTAAAAGACTCAAGCTCCTCGGTGACCTCAAGAAGAGCCGTCGCGGTTGTCGGATTATTGAGAGGAGGAGGTGATTCAGGTTCCCCGTCAGCAAGTTGAAGTCGATCTGGCTCAGAGGTGACATGCACTGGTGGATTTGCTGAGGAAGATGCTGCAGCCGACTTCTTAGAGTTCTTCATCTTCGAATTAAGATACTGGTGGATTTGCTGAGAGAAGATTGCGGAGCAGTTTCTTGATTTGGAAGTGGAGAAGTGAGATCGTGTGAGGTATAGAGAACTGTTTAGGGTTTTCCCACTATCTCCACTAAGAGGGAAACTCAACCAACTTATCCGAAATTGTACATTTGGTCCCTGTCCTGATTCACTTCCCCTTTTGTAACCTGCACAATTAATTTCTCTCATCCAAACCCATTAGACTTAAGCAACCATATTCTCGAATAACAATGTATCATTAGACTCTCAGAATAACAATTAAACATATGTCACATATCACAATTGGCCTTAGTCTGAACGAGTTTTTTTTTTTTTTATTAAAAAAAGATTGATTTTTTACCTTTTAGAACATGTCATGCCTGATCTGATTCAGCACTTAGTTCAGACTGCACACACGAGACTTTTAGATTGTGCGATCTGGTGAGCTCAAAAATCTTTTATGGCTAGCTTCACATCGTTGTACCTTCATCAATCCTGGTGGGTTTTTCACTTCCTTATTCAACATGTGTGAGTGCTCCCCATCCTTTCGTTTCGTTTCTTTGTATTTTTTTGGTTGTTTCTTTTTCTCTTTTGAACTTCTTCACCCTTCTTGTGAGGTGACGATGTTGCTTCTTAAGGGTATTATGATGATCCACACACGTGAAAACTTGTACCTCTCAACAGGATCAACGGTACAACAGGTAGCTCTTTTCCACAGCGTTCTCAAGTGCCAAACATAATCTGAATCATGTGTACCTCCTGTACTAGCATCTATACCAGACCCTGCACTACTTGACTCAACAATCAAGATTACATACCCCAATGGCATTTCTTAGCGTGATAAAGCGATTAAGATCAAGGGGTTTAGTAAAAATGTCAGCCAACTGTAAATCAGTAACAACATGCTCAATTACTACCTGATTGTCTTCAACCAATTCTCTGATGAAATGGTGCCGTATGTCAATGTGCTTTGTCCTAGAATGCTGGACTGGATTCCTTGAGATATCAATTGCACTTTTGTTGTCATAGTGTACCAGAAAGGGTCCAGACGTCATTCCGTAGTCAGCTAACATTTGCTTCATCCAAATCAATTGTGTACAACAGCTTCCCATGGCGATGTACTCAGCCTCTGCAGTAGATAGTGACACAAAATTCTGCTTCTTGCTCATCCATGATATGAGATTGTGACCCAAAAAGAAACATCCTCCCTTCGTACTCTTCCTATCATCAGCACATCCTGCCCAGTCAGCATCACAGTATCCTACCAGATTCTTGTTGGAGTTCTTGGCGAATTGTATTCCAAGGCTTTCAGTTCCCTTGACATACTTCACGATCCGCTTGACTGCATTTAAATGCGACACCTTTGGTTTGGCTTGGTATCTTGCACATACTCCCACGCTGAAGGATTGATCTGGTCTACTGGCTGTCAGATAAAGTAGACTTCCAACCATTCCGCTGTACAAGGTTGGATCAACATCTTCACCAGCCTCATCTCGTGCAAGTTTCACTGAAGTACTCATTGGGGTACGTGCGACTTTGCTGTTTTCCAGTCCGAACCTCTTAACTAGATTGTTGGCATAGGCACTCTGTGAGATGAACACCCCTTTCTCGGACTGAGTTACTTGAAGCCCCAAGAAATACATAAGCTCTCCACACATACTCATTTCGAATTCATCAGTCATACTCTCCACGAATTCATCCACCATTGACTGTGAAGTACTTCCAAAGATAATGTCATCCACGTAGATCTGAACAATGATGATGTTCTTATCTTTCTCCATAAAAAACAATGTTTTGTCTACACTTCCCCTGATGTATCCTCCTTCTACTAGGAAGCTTGTAAGGCGCTCATACCATGCTCGAGGTGCCTGCTTAAGACCATACAACGCTTTCTTCAACTTGTAGACATGTTGCGGATGAGTGTGATCTTTGAACCCCTTTGGCTGCTCCACATAGACCTCCTCTTGCAGAATTCCATTCAAGAATGCACATTTTACATCCATCTGGTATACCTTGAAGTTCAGGATGCAAGCCATTCCTAAGAAAAGCCTGATGGACTCAAGACGAGCCACTGGTGAAAATGTTTCTTCAAAGTCTACCCCTTCAACCTGTGAGTACCCTTGTGCCACCAATCGCGCTTTATTACGAACCACTTCTCCATGCTCATCAGTCTTATTCTTGAAAATCCATCTAGTTCCCACGACATTTACTCCTTCTGGTCTGGGCACAAGTTCCCACACATCATTCCTTACGAACTGCTCCAGTTCCTCCTCCATTGACACAATCCAGTACTCGTCACGTAGTGCATCATTGTGTGTCTTCGGTTCAATGGAAGATACAAAGCAAGCAAACTGGACCATCTCTCGGAAATTTATCACCTTGCCGCGAGTCTTTCGTCCCTCATCTAACCCTCCAATCACATCGTCAGCAGAATGATTACGATGTACTTGCTGGAGTACTTCAGCTGGCGCAGCACCTTCTGATTCAGTGATCTCAGATACTTCTTCTTTCGTTCTGATCTCTGATGTCTCTGTCTCTTCATCAGATTCATTGTCATCCCAGCTGATCACCGAGAAGTCATAAAATACCACATTCACTGACTCCATAACCATGGCAGATCGCTTGTTGAACACTCGGTATGCTGTACTAGTTCCTGAATAACCAAGGAAGATGCCCTAATTGCTTCTTGAATCAAACTTTCCTAGGTAGTCCTTGTCGTTCAAGATATAGCACCTGCACCCAAAAACATGAAAATAACCAAGGTTAGGTGTTTTACCAGTCCACATTTCATAAGGAGTTTTCGTGGTCCCTTTTCTCACATACACCCTATTGATGATGTAACATGCAGTACTCAGTGCCTCAGCCCAAAACCTTTGAGGTATCTTGTTACCATGTATCATCGCCCTGCCCATCTCTTGCAATGTCCTATTCTTTCGCTCTACTACACCGTTTTGTTGTGGTGTCCTGGGAGCTGAGAACTGATGAGCTATTCCTTTTATCTCACAAAATTGCGTCATTAGTTCATTCTGAAACTCTCCTCCATGATCACTGCGTATCTTCTTGATTCCTCCTTTCTCATTGATCAACTGTAGTGCCCAAATCTTGAAGCTTTCCACCGTTTCTGACTTCTCTCTGATGAATCTGACCCATGTGAATCTTGTGAAGTCATCAACTAGCACAAACACATACTTCTTCCCTCCAATACTGTCGATTTGCATTGGTCCCATTAGATCCATGTGAACTAGATCCAAGGGGGCCAAGGTTTGTACATCCGGGACCTTCTTGTGTTGTACCTTTACTTGTTTCCCTTGATTACAAGCTCCACACACGATCTTCTCTTTTATCTGAAGCTGAGGTACGCCACGAATCATATTCTTGTTGACTAGAGTTGCCATGTTACGCAGATTCATGTGGCCTAGACGTTGATGCCAAAGTTCAACATTGTCTTGTGAGGATTGAGCAGAGAAGGCATTCATACACTTAGTCTTCTTTTCCCACATGTACCAGTTGTTGCCAGCTCTTATCCCTTGTAGAACTGTTACCCCATGCTTGTTGATGGCTCGGCATTCTGTAGCTGTGAATAGCACTGAGAGTCCTTCATCACATAGTTGACTTACGCTGATCAAATTTGCCTTCAGACCTTTGACAAAGTATACGTTCACCAGCTTAGGTAGTTCAATATCATTTGTAGCACCTTTCCCTTTGATAGATCCTTGTCCTCCATCTCCAAACGTGACCTTTCCACCTTTCACCTTTTTCAAGTTATCTAGGTACTCAGCATTCCCTGTCATGTGCCTTGAGCAACCACTATCAAAGTACCATGGCTCTTCTGCATCATCATCCTCCGTAACCAAAGCCATGCTACAGCGTAAGCCAGATCCTGTAGTAATCGAAGAATACAAGTCTGACTTCTTCATCCATACTCGACTTGTGTTCCCAACTCTCCAGAACTTCCGTTGATTCCACACTTGTCTGATCTTCTCGAGATACCTCTGACAAAACCTTTTGTAATGACCCAACTTCCCACAAAAATGGCATCCAGTCGTTTGTCTTGATGGACTTCTTGTCTCAGTTTCCTTAGTGTGAACAAACCCTCCAGACACAAAACTGGTCATGCCTGTGGTATTACTTGATCTTCCAGTGTATCCCAGCCCCATGTGAGAATTCTCTGTTCTGCCTTGAGACAAAATCTTGTCCAGCTGCTTAGTGCCCGTTAGCATCTTGATCTTCTTGTATTGCTGATCTAACTCCGATTGTAGTTCCATGGTGATTTTCTTCTCAGCCATCACTTCCTGTCTGAGATCTTCTACTTGTTTGGCAAGAACTAGCTTCTCTTTTATCAGATTCACACTCTCTTTGGCTAGCTCAGTTTCCTGTTGGAGTTCCAGACGAACCTTTTCCAATTCTGCCTCAAGACTTTCCTTAGCTTTCTCAAGTGCTCGATTCTCAGCTCCAAGTCTCAGTACTGTCTCGCGAATTTCTCGATAGCTCTCAATTAGTTCTTTCTCTGATTCACTCTCACTTTCGGAGTCAGACTCAAATTCTGTGATGCCCAAGAATGCCATAAAGTTGTTCAGCTCTTCTTCACTATCGCTGTCGGAGTCGCTGTCGTTGATCCCAATCAACGATTTCTCTTTCTTCTTTTTGCTGTCTGTCTCGCATTCAGCTTGAGTATGGCCAAACCCTTTGCATCCAAAGCATTGAAACTCTCTTATTTTTACTGTGGGGCAATCAGTTCGCACATGGCTATATCCCTTACACTCATAACACTTCACGTCTGACTTCTTGACATTCTTCTCAGCTTCAGCAGATTTGGATTTTGAACCGAACTTCTTGTAGGATTGTCCTTGTTCCACTTTTCTGAGTGCTCTATCAAATCTCCTCACAAGTAACCTTAATGGATCATCACCTGCTTCATCCTTTTCAACAGACGCTAATGCAATTCCCTTAACCTTCTTTCCACTATCTAACTCCATCTCATGAGCTTGCATCATACCCACTACCTCATCGAAGCTTATGTCATCAGTGTTGAGAGCTACTTCCATGGCTGATTTGTGACCTCTGAACCTTTCAGGAAGACACCTCAAGAACTTCTTCACCATTTTCTTCTCTTTGTATTTTTTCCCGAGTGTGAGTGCTTCTTGGGACAATGAGCTTAGCTTGGAACTGAAATCAGCAATTGATTCATTCTCGTCCATCTTCAGATCTTCAAACCGAGTATCCAGCATGTCTCTTCTCGAGCTTAACACCTTCTTAGTTCCTTCAAAGTGCTTCTGAAGAATATCCCATGCTTCTTTCGCTGACTCACATCCCTGAATCAACTCAAACTGTTTTCTCGCAACACTGCAGTGGATGGCCGTGAGTGCTCTTGCATTGAACTTGGCAAACTTGTTCTCATCTTCAGTCCACAGTTCTTTGGGTTTTGGTACATCTTTACCATCTTCACCTCTCGCAACAAGATGTTTCCACCCAGACTCAACTGCCTTCCATGCAAGTGGATCAATACCTTTGATCGTCGCCTTCATTCTGGCTTTCCAGAACCCATAGTTTCCTACTTCCAAGATCACCTTGGAGTGCGCCACCAACTCTTTGAAGTTGTCCATTCCGCAGGATCCTTACCTGTTTAAGAAAAAACACAAGTACCCGCTCTGATACCAATTGAAAGCGCAAGATTAGTAGTACAGAAACTAGAACACACAGTAATCCAAGAGTTATTTTTCCAAGAAAATACGAGTAGATAAATCCTTTTAAAAGCACATACAAATTCTTTTGAAAAGCAATTCTCAACAAAGCTCAAGAACAACTTGCCTTGTTGACTAGCCTAATCAATTCACGACTTACCCTAGTCGATGAATTGCTTCTAACTCTTAGAGTGCTCTGCCTACCTTGCTCGGTTTTAAAAAACTCTATCTTGCTAGAATATCACCTAGTGTGTTAGCCGACTACAACCCAGTCGACTCTCTCTTTATACCTAGAGAGAAAAACCCTAAAACTACCCAATGGAAACTTTCCATTTTCTGTTTCAGCGAATAAGACAACCTTCTTCTTTTCTTCATCGGTTGTTTATTCATTACTCCTTTTTCTTAAAGCCCACGCCTTGATAAATATCTTCACATCTTTACTAATGGATCCTTCCTTTTCTTGCTCAGCTCTCGACTCCGCGTTTCACCCAGTAGTTCATGTCGTGCTTCATGAACTACTTCAGCTTTGTCCTTGAACTACTTCAGCTTCGTCTGCACCATACATCTTCAGATCTTGGACGGTTTTAGCTTACCATTAATGATGCAAGGAACGTTTGAGTGAAGAAAGAGGAGAGCAGAGCATATCTCAGAGGAAATCCTGATCCTAGATTCCCATGGAAGCGTAGGAACGTTGTTTGCAGAGGAGAAGCAATCTTCGAGGCTTACGAATCTCTAGCAGTGGCATCAATTATTCAACTATGGCACACTCTTTGCTTGTCATATGTCAATATTTGTAATGAACAAATGCGTATTGATCTACCTATTCATTTCTTTTTATCTATTAAAGAAGTTCTGTAACCTAAAGTTCGCTATCTGCGAACCACCAGTGAAATGTTTCTTTTATGGTAAATCCTTTTACATGTGGTAGCCAAGAGGTACTGAATTATCTACGCATAACTAGCAGATATGAATAGATATATTATCATCTCGAAAAATATCATATAAATTTCTCTGAAAGTGAGAAATAAATTGAACTTACTAACTTGCATAAGGCCTCCATGGTACTAGCATCCTCTTTCCATTCGTTCCAAGCTTCCCCATAGACGGTTCTCTCTGATTTGCCGATATCATGCATGGCTTTATCATATCTATGAACTTCGCGTGCTACACTTCCTTCACGCTTCTTCTCCTGAAATTCCAAAAGATCAACCAATCACCAGGCAGTTAAGGTATCTGAGCCAACTAATTTAGTAAGAAAGATAAACGTAAAGAAGAAGTGACCTCTTCGTACCTCGACATTTGAGGAAGTTAAGGTATCTAAGCCAACTAATTCAGGGCTAGCCGGCTCTGGACCAACCTGCTCTCCATAGGAAGAACTCGAACCTGAAGAAAGATGAGTAGTTGCTCTTGGTTCCACCATTTCTCTCTCCGATTGACCTGTGTCTTTCTCACCATCTGCACAATTCTGTAATAAAGTTACCATAGGGAGACACTATACAACTGATAGCAAAGAATACAATATGTAGAGGGACCTTTGCAAAATCCAAGCAAACCTCTACCTTGTTCAAGGAGGCTACGCCAATATCTTAGCCTTCTCCTCATATAAGAGGATTCCAGTTTTTCTGATCTCCTTGTCTCAGTATCTGAATCAATCTGTACTAGAGGAGGCATTGTTTGTCTGTTATTACTAACGTCATTTGTTGCCCTGTTTTTAAGAGGTGCTTCTTTTAGTTATATGTTCAGATGTAGAAAACAAAGCAAATCGTAGAAGCATTTAACTGAATAAATTGAAGTTTCTACAGATGTATCATTCACTCTTTCTGCAACCTTTGAAAGGGGAAAAATATACCTTGTAAAAATAAGGTAACCTTTACACAGAAACCAAATATGGCAGAAATCAGGAGCTTTTTTTGAAAACGAATATGGCTTTCTTGGACTTGAAATCCGTCATCCTCCTGGCATTTCGAAGTTAAATAGATAACATGTCGGAGGTCAGACAAAGTCACAAAACAGAATTCTGACATAAAATATCAAATAGAGAATCATATCTTTACCATGAATAATGCTCATCCAATGCAGCTCCCATCACCAACCACTTAATATTGTGTCGAACAATTACGTCTACAATACCTTCCTCAATATTTTGTCCAGCAATGCAAAGTTTATCTGTTTGAACCTAAGAAGAACTATGTCAAATCACTAGTGTATCATATGAAAGGGTCCTGACTAGGAATGCCTAAGTAAGCTCTACATTTCTGAGGACCGAAACAACAGGGTACAAGTTTTTTCCGTTTAAATTATATCATTATATGAACAAGTACATCTACCCAGATCACATGAATATACCAAGTAAGTTGCCTTATTTCAACTAAAGTTAGAACACCAATATACAAAACACGGAAAAAGAAGAAGAGAGAACTAACACCTCAGTTTCAGATAAAAGGCGTAGATAAGAATCCATAAGCTCATCCACTTTTTGTTTGTCAACACGCTCGATCACCTTGACAGCATGTTTTCTAAAGGTACCACCAGCAAGTTTCTTGTGTGCTGTAAGTAATAAAATGTTAGAAATTACTAAAGTGATTGTGTTGGGATATTGTTGGGATATAGTATATTCTGAGTTAGATAATCATGTAATTATTTACAGATAACTCCTAAGTTAAGTCGGTATTAGTTGAGATAAGCCTTAGGGTTTTTCATGTAAGTATAAAAGGAGGACGTTCAGCCTCTGTTTCAATACACACAAATATTCATAGTACCTTGTTTTACATGGTATCAGAGCAATAGATCCATACTTCACGATCTATTCTAAATTTTCTTGTTCAAAGTTAGTTACAATTTTTCGAGAACCATGGGAGATGATACATCAAAATCCTTGGTGACCGGCGTGACCGAGAAGACTGTAAGCTCTCCGTACTCGATCTTTGCATCAGATAATCCTGGTACATTGATTACTTCGGTACAATTTAAGGGAGATAACTATAATGAGTGGGCGACGGAGATGATGAATGCACTCCAAGCCAAAAGAAAAGCGGGTTTTATTGATGGTACTCTGAAGAAGCCACCTGAAGGACACGCAGATTTGGAGAGTTGGTTGAGTGTCAACTCGATGATAGTCGGATGGTTGAGAACTTCGATGGAGCCTCGTGTGAGATCTACCGTGACGTTCATTACAGACACACATAAACTTTGGAGAATCTCAGGGAAAGGTTTCAGTTGGAAACAAAGTGAGAATACATCAACTGATGTCAAAGTTAGCCTCGTGCAGGCAGAACGGCGATGATGTGATCAACTACTATAGTCGACTTGCTAAGATGTGGGAGGAATTACAGATGTATAGGCCACCTCCGATTTGTACTTATGATGCAGCGGTGGTTTATGAGAAGGAGAGAGAGGATGAAAGAGTTCACTAGTTCATAATGGGACTTGATGAATCAAGGTTTGGACATGTGGTGACAGCAATTATAGAAGCAGATGTTACCTGATCTAGGTAAAGTATACAACAAGATAGTCCGAGAAGAAGATAGATTGAACTCTGCTAAAAGTCGTGAACAGCAACAGGAGGCCGTTGGTTTTGCTACGCGACGAGAAAACAATAATGATGCTGCAGGAGGTTGTGGTGGTTCACGTGATGAATCGAGCTCACAGACGCAGCAAAACAAAGGAGGAAGAGACAGAAGCTGTTCACACTGTGGTAGAGTCGGACACGACAAAAACAATTGCTGGCAACTTATCGGGTATCCAGAGTGGTTCAGTGAGAGAGGAGGAAGTGGAACTCGAGGTACTAGTAGAGGAGGAGGTCGTGGTGGTCAGTCTCGTGGAAGAGGTCAAAGTAGTGTGGCTTACGCAACTAATGCAAATCCAGGAGGAGCAATGAGTGAGCTAACTCCGGAGCAGTGGAAAGCAATTTCTCAAATCTTGCATGAGAGATCATCAAGTTCCGATTCAAAGTCTGGTAAGATTTTGGGAGATGTGATCCTTGATACCGGGGCTTCACATCACGTGACAGGAGATATAAATCTACTTGTTGATCTCAAAGAAATTTATCCTTGTAACATTGGGTTTACAGACGGAAGTAAAACCGTTTCGAGGAAGATGGGCGTAATGACTTTGTCTGATAGTATACGTCTTTACGATGTGCTATACATACCAGATTTGAACTGTTCTCTAGTATCAGTATCAAAACTGCTTAAGTACTCAAATTGTTTCGCGTTTTTCACCGATACGCTATGTGTTTTACAGGACCAGTGTTTGAGGACGCTGATTGGAGCATGTGAAGAATGTGATGGGGTATACTATTTTACGGATGTCAAAGCTGCTCGAGTAAACAAGATGGTGAAAATTGAAGATTCAGTTCTGTGGCATCAGCAGTTGGGGCATCCTGCTTTCAGTGTTTTGTCTTCATTATCTATGTTTTCTGGTGTTGGTGTTTCTGAAAATTTAAACTCTTGTGAAGTCTGCTTTCGGGCTAAGCAAACTAGAGATCAATTTCCTATAAGTTCTAATAAAAGTGTTGAGTGTTTTGAGTTGATTCATCTCGATGTATGGGGACCATATCGTGTCAAATCCTCCATCGGAGCCTCTTATTTCTTGACTATATTGGACGACTATTCACGTAACGTCTGGACATTCTTACTTTTGGAAAAATCGGAAGTGAAAAGAGTCGTACAAGAGGTAGTTGCATATGCTGGAACTCAATTTGGTAAAGCAGTTAAGAAAGTTAGAAGTGATAATGGTATAGAGTTCATTTGTTTGACACATTATCTTAAAGAAAATGGGATTGTACATCAAACCTCTTGTGTTGAGACGCCGCCGTAGAATGGAAGAGTGGAGAGAAAGCATCGACATCTGTTGAACGTCGTACGATCTTTGTTGTTTCAGGCAAGTATGCCGATCAAGTTCTGGAAAGAAGCTGTACTTGCTGCGGCCCATTTAATCAACCTTAATCCAACTAAATTATTGGATGGAAGGTGTCCTAACGAGTTGTTGATTGGAGAAGCTCCGACTTATTCTGAGTTAAGGGTGTTTGGTTCACTGTGCTTTGCGCACAAACAGGTCAGGGACAAAAACAACTTCCTGTCTCGAAGTAGGAGGTGTGTATTTGTTGGCTATCCTTATTGAAAGAAGGGATGGAAGTTATATGACCTGGATACAAATGAGTTCTTCGTATCTAGGGATGTAGTTTTTAGAAAAAGTGAGTTTCCGTTCTCGATTGATAAGTCTGGAAAGAAGGTCTCAATGCCTGGTTCTGATCTTGTTGAGAATATTGTTTCTGAAACACTGTCTCCCGAAGTGATGAGCATTGGAGACAGGGGGAGCAGTAAGAAGGACACTATAGTTAGTGATCCAGCAATACTTCAGATCGGTCTAGAGATGACAAAAGACACTTCTGTTGTGAGTTCACATGAGAATAAATCAAATTCTGAGATTGTTACAGAAGCTACAACAGCTAAAGAGGGTGCACTGATAACTGGTTCTGAGATAGAAAATCGGTTAGGAAGAGGACAACGAGTGAAGATTCCATCTGTAAAGTTGACTGACTATGTCACATACAACATTTCCAGCAAATATAGTACCCCTCACGTTCTCTCCTACAGCGTCTTCTTCGACCCGGTTCCAGGTAATACCTTGTACCCTCTCACTGAGTTTATTACTGATGACCGTTTTTCCGTGGAACACAAGGCGTTTCTTGCCTCAGTTTGCACAGAAGTTGAACCTAAGACATTTAAAGAAGCTATGTGTGATGTACGTTGGAACAAGTCAGTATACACGGAAATTACAGCACTTGAAGTTGCTGGTACTTGAAGTGTAGTTGATTTGCCACCAGGACGAGTTGCTTTGGGAACAATGTGGGTGTTCAAAATCAAATATAACGCTGATGGGAAAGTAGAGCGTTTTAAATCAAGGCTGGTGGTGCTTGGAAACCGTCAAAAAGAGGGTTGTGACTATGATGAAACATTTGCGCCGGTGGCGAAAATGACTACCATTCGAAGTCTTTTAAAAATTGTTGCAGCTAACAACTGGGAGATGCATCAAATGGATGTACACAATGCTTTTCTACATGGTGATTTACATGAAGAGGTTTACATCAAGCTTTCGGAGGGGATTACCAATTCCGATCCCAAGAAGGTGTGCGGATTGCATAAGAGTCTTTATGGATTAAAACAGGCTCCTAGGTGTTGGTTTGAAAAGTTAACAGCTGCTTTAACAAAGGTGGGATTCAATCAGTCGAAGTCTGATTATTCTCTGTTTATCTACTCCCGGCACCGAGTTGAGATAAGAGTTTTAATATATGTTGATGATCTGATTATTTGTGGCAATGAATGAGAAGCTATTCAGAGGTTTAAGAATTATCTTGGAGATTGCTTTCATATGAAAGATCTAGGAAAGCTCAAGTATTTTCTTGGAATTGAAATTGCTCGGAACAAGGAAGGTTTTGTGTTGACTCAGGGTAAGTATGCATTGGATAAAGTCAAAGAAACTGGACTTCTTGGTTCCAAACCAGCTGAAACACCAATGGAGCAGAATCATCGTTTGGCGTCAGATGATAGTCCATTTGTGAGCGAACATGCAAGGTATAGAAGGCTGGTCGGACGTCTTATATATCTCTCAAACACCAGACCTGACATCTCGTATTCAGTGCATATTTTTTCACAGTTTATGAAGAAACCGAGAGAGAGACAGTTTGAAGCAGCTTTACGCGTGGTGAGGTTTATTAAAGGTACTGCTGGTCAAGGAATTCTGCTCAAGTCTGATTTAAATCTGCAACTCTCTATCTAATGTGATGCTTATTGGGCAGCTTGTCCCTTGACGAGACGTTCCTTAACCGCGTATGTGGCCATGATAGGAGGGTCACCGGTGTCTTGGAAAACAAAGAAACAAAATGTTGTGTCTCACTCTTCAGCTGAGGCAGAGTACCAAGCAATGTCTATTGCTACACGGGAGATTACATGGCTACGACAACTACTCACTGATCTTGGATTCAAACCAAATACTTCTGCTCGTCTATTTTGTGATAGCAAATCAGCTTTGTATATTGCTTCAAATCTTGTTTTTCATGAACGACCAAAACATGTTGAGATTGATTGTCATCGGGTCTGAGATGCGTTGAAGGCAGGTCAGATTACGGCAGCCTATATTGGAACAAAGGAGCAGCTTGCAGATGTTTTGACTAAGGCTTTGCGAAAGTTTCAGTTCACTAATCTCATGTCCAAGTTGGGCATTTGTAATTGTTGGGGTCAAAATCGGTACGACGGAATCAATGGCCGAAACTCCTCGCAGAAATATAAAAGAAATCGTTTTGTAAAACCCGAAGAATCATTTTATAAAACTCGAGGATCGTTTTATAAAACTCGAGGACCGTTTTATAAAACTCGAGGATCGTTTAATAAAACCCGAGGATCATTTTATAAAACTCGAGAATTGTTTTATAAAACTCGAGGATCGTTTATAAAATTCGAGAATCGTTTTATAAAACTCAAAGAATCGTTTTATAAAACTCGAGAATCGTTTTATAAAACTCGAAGAATTGTTTTATAAAACTCGAA